ATGCCTACACCCTGTCTCCGTCCCTTAATCCCCTCCCAACCCCGAGTCCCCCCCTTATGTTCCAGCCGTAAACGGTTGTTTGTGTACACTTTGATACCTATTCCCCACGTTCCCCCAACCCGAAGTCTTCTCCAGGTCCCTAAAAAAATAGGACTTAAAAGGTTTTGCGTGTACCGAAGATAAGTATACAAGAATGTGGGCGCAAGCCGCCGGCCATCCCCCGGTTGTTTTTAGCGACCGTAAGGATAGCCCCCAATTGGACTCAGACTTTGTAATGCTGGGTGTGATTTGTGGTTAAAATATGTTAAAATTGAATATTCTGAGAAAGTATGCGAAAAAATGTCGTTGAAAAAAATTGAGTTATCCAGGTCAATTTTTTTTTCCGCACATGCCTTTTTGACCGCGCAGTGAAGTCTGGTGCCTTTCCGGTGACTTGACATGAACCGCTTCACCGCGGTGATTTGGCGGTTGGCGCGCGTCATTAACATTTCAGAGATTCTTCTTTTTTTTCTTACCCGTCCGAGTCTGTGACCGCGGTTCTTCCGGATACAGGGCAAACAGAAGATCACCAGCACACCTTACCAAATTTACAGTAAAAAAACACTGCGACAATTGGAATTTGCTTTTCAAGGAGGGCCACAAGGCAGTATGTGGAGCAGGAATTGACCATGCCTTTTGTTGCAAGTTGTATTTCCAAATTTTGGCCACTAGCACGGGAAAAAAAATAAGCGGTCCTATTTTTCGAAAATTTCATCCGTCCATCGGTTGCGCCCAAAACGGGGCTCTTTGCTTGCTCAGGGTGCTTGCTCACTGTGGCCCGCGGCATTTTGCCTGCAAATTTGCGTGCCAAGTGATTCTTGTGAAATCTTGATATGCGTTTCGACTGCGCAGGCTCGCACAAAGCGTTTGTCTGTGTTCTCGGCTCAATTTGTTCTGCGGCATTTTAAATAATGTTGCTCTTGTGATGTTTCTTGTGACATGTGGACGTGCATTTTGATTGCGCAGGCTCGCGCAAGGTGTGTGTCCGCGTTCTGGGCTCAATCTGGGCCGCAACATTTTCCGGTCATTCTTCTGATCTCTCGTGTGACATGTGGACATGGCTCCCGACAGCGCAGGCTCGCACAAAGTGTGTGTCCGCATTCTGTGTTCAATCTGGGCCGCGGCATTTTCCCAGTAAATTTCCGTACGAAGTGGCTTTTCTGATGTTTTTATGGCATGTGGACATGCATTTCGACCGCGCAGGCTCACACAAAGCGTGTGTCCGCGTTCTGTATTCAATCTGGGCCGCAGCATTTTTCCGGCAAATTTCCCCATGAGATGGTTATGTTGATGTTTTTTGTGACACGTGGACATGCACTTCGACTGCGCAAATTCGCAGAAACCGTGCAGTTCGGTATTGTGATTGGCCCTGCTCCTCGGTATCACATCTTCCTCCTCCTCCTCCTCCTCTTCCTCCCCTTCCGCATCATCATTCTCAACATCATTTTTTACTTTTCCCGTGGCATCATCATCCTCAACATCCTCCTCTCCACCTCATCATCTTCCACAACATCACCCTACATTTCATCGTCTTCAACATTCCCATCCTCAACATCATCGTCCTCCTCCTCAACATCATCATTCTCAACGTGATCATCTTCCCCCTTGACATCATCACCCTCAATCCTCAACATCATCATCGTTCCCCTTCTCAAAATCATCATCCTCCACCTGATCATGCTCAACTTCACCTTCCGCAGTACAGTCCTCATCCTCATCCTCAACATCATTGAATCATCATCCGGCACATCGTCATCCGCCACTTTATCTTCTGCATCATCCTCCTTTACCTTATCTTCGGCAACATTATCATCCTCAACATCATCGTTCGCAACATTATCATCCTCGCTCTCATCCTCCTCCTCCTCCTCCTCCTCTTCCTCTTCCTCATCATCAGCATCATCATCATCATCATCATCATGAATCATGATCATCATCACCATCATTTCCATTCTCATACATTATGTTCCCACCCCGCGGCACTGTTTGGGGGCTCTTGCCGGGAGAATTTTTTTCCCCCAAAAAACATCATTTCACCACAGCGCCAATCCCTTTTTTCCAATTGATTCCACATGATTTTGGGATCCAATTTTCGGGTGGTTGTTTGAAGTTGATGGTTAATTCACGGGTATTTTCCACATCTTCAGAATATACTTTGATAGTGTGAACGGACGATGTTATCAGCATTTTTTTTCTCTCAGTTGCTTGCTGTGTTTGTGACAGCAATATCATGTTGGATATGGCATGTAAATGTTCAGAAGGCAGTACCAAGAGCGGGTTGGATACTACATCTAAGTGCCCGCAGCGTGTTCGTAGCACCAAAATCGTGGTGGATATATTACATGAAAGTGTTAAACGCCAATAGCGTGTTGGATGTACCTTGAAAGAAGTTCAGACGGTAGCAACAAGATCGTGTTGGATGTTACACGAAGGTGTTCGCCACTTGTGTGATGTTGTGTGAATGAATGTTTTAACGCGTGTTCCTTATTACGGAACATCATAGGATGTTTTACATGCTGCCCCCTTCAGACGAAGGGGTTGCATGTAAAGCGTGCTCGACTTTGGACGCCCTCAACAAGGTGGGTGCGGGGGGAGGGCATGTAATAACGTTCTGTGTTTTTGTGTAAAGTCCAGCACGCTTTAAATGCGATGGCGTCAGCAGGGGAGTGCGGGGGGGGGGCAAGATCATAAAACGTTATTACATGCCTCTCCCCACCTCTCTATGTACAAACACGCCATATCCAAAAACGTGTAAAAAGGCGTGGGCTGTGACAGCTTTCCTTGCGCTGGCAAACACATGTGTAACGCAGCATTTCCATACTTGAACCTTTCAACCACGACTCCGTCAACGTGAGTTCCTTTGTTGCAATGCGTTTGCGCCAAAACAATTACCAGCTCAGGCAATTGGAAAGAGGAGACCCTTGCCACGAAGCACGGACATTGAGCGTTTCCAACACAAGAATATTGTAACCATTTTGTGAGCTACATCCGGCTCAAGCACTTCACTCAAGTAATTTGCGGACTTTTCTGGTCGTGTTTCTTTTTGGATTGCCTTTTGGTATCAGATTGGGTCACGAAGCGTCGAGTCCAATCTGGCTAGGAACAAAATTCGTCCAAAATTAGTGATACCTAGCGTGTGTCTTGATACTTACGCACTTGTTTTGAGAATCATGTTCTTTCTTGCCGGTTTTTGCCTGTTGAAATCGTTTCCAAAAAAAAAATCGAAGCTGCCAGGCGTCCAAAAAATGTAAATGCACAGAGTTGGTACGTTTGGATGTATATTCAGTCGCTTGCGACGTGTTTTTTTTGTTTAACAGAACCGCGCATAGCATGCTGCGACAACAGCGCTGTCACACCAGCTTTTTGAAAGACAACGCGATTTTGCACTGTGGCTTGCTGCTGGGCATCAAACATTATCGATGGTCAGCCGCTGAAAACATGGCAATTTTTTTTCGCAAGATGCTGGAGGACAATTCCGAAACTTACAAAATAAAGAACTTCCGATGTCATGGAGGTGCTTCGGCGTCGGCATATTCTGCTGTCAAGGGTGCTCGCCTGGACACGGTTTCTGTTTGCGCTGGCCTTCACTCCCTTGGTCGCTCAACGTACAAGTGCGTGAAACCCAGCCGCCAACCAAGTGTTGAAATTTGTCCCTCATCCTCAAAGACACCTACGCGGTGGCGTGAGGCTACCATGGAAAGTCTGCCTTGCGGCGATGTGCTGATGCTGCTTTGGCGCCAGCCCCTTCGGATTTGCAGCCGCGGCCGCGGTACCCGCGGTTTCGTGAATTGCTTCTGTGTGGCTATGCGGCTATGCGGTGTTGTGCGTCATGTGAGCCCAGCCGGCGCTTCGTTGTGCCCTTTGCTGCCTGTGTTGCTTGTGAGCCGTTGCATCAACCATCATCCGCTGTGGCCACGTTGCTAATCAAACAGTACACTCTGATTCTCACATAAGAGAGGATCGCAAACAAAAAAGGAAGATGGGAACAGGAGAAACTTTTGGCGTCCGTAAACCTTGTAGAACTGTTTTTTTTTCCCGAAAAAAATGGAAAGGACGCGGACTACGAAAAATAGCCTTGGGGTCAGTTCAAGGGATACGTACAGCATTACCATTTACATCGCACGGAGCAACCCTTGGGATCGTCAAAACAGCACTTTCCCGCGCAAGAAGCCACCGAGGTCGCATTCCAAATTTAGAAATTTTGACGTGCCTCAAATCAACAACGCCGCAGTGCGTGCAGGCTTTATATAGACAAAACCCGTCGACACCAGAGCATGCACTCAAAATGACACATTTTTTAAAAGAATCAACAGTAAGTCAACCGTGCTTGGGACTTGACCCCGAAGTCGCTCAGTCCTTCCAACACCAAATCCCTTTTCGACCGCCTGTAAGTCGTGCTTCTGTTTTGAACATGGTCCCCCGGAATCTTCAGCGTCATTGTCTGAATTCTTGACCAACATCATTGTAATATCATTGCTATAAAGAACATGTGCGGCAGATCCGGCCATGAAAACTGTGATGAACATCATCATCATCATCATCACCACCACCATCATCATCATCATCATCAAGATCGTGATCATCATCATCATCATCATCGTCATCATCGTCATCGTCATCATCGTCATCATCATCATCATCATCATCATCATCATCGGGAACACAATTTCCGCCGGGGAGTTGCCCAAGACACCGTCACAACTGCTAAATAATGTCCATTGAAATTTGGCCGGTGAAGTTGTTGAGCGCACGCTGACGCTGAACTAACAGTTTTCATCCTTTACTATGAGAGTCTATGAGCCGTGCGACCGGCCAATTCTGCAGCAGCAACATTCATGTTTCTAGCGGGGCGTGCGGCTTTGCTTGTTTGAGAGGCCTGACATGTGACAACGTTTGAAATAATGAGGGACTTTGTGTGAATTGACCAGCTCCCAACTACTGTTGGCGACCCTGCAGGTTGGATGGGGCCCCGTAGGCCATCAGATGTCGATGGTTCTGATTCACCATTTTGAGCCTTGGCAGCGTTGGAACAGTGCTTCAGGTGATGGCTAATGGGCACCATGCGGATAATCGGTGTCAGTGCCATGGCCCAGGTGTAGTTCTCGGTGCCCAATGGGGAGATGAGGGAAAGGGCAAATTGGTCGACATCCTTGCGCAGGCCTGCCCATGTGTTATCGAAAAACCATGCCGCAGAAAATCGCTGCGATGATTCACTGCTGTCGTCGTCATCATCATCATCATCATGATGATCAACAACGTTAACATCGATTGCCATATCATCAGAATCAACATCATGCCTGTTTGAAAATTGCCATTGCGATTATCATTACTTTTTTTCGCATTGCCAACATCATCATCATCATGATCATCATCATCATCATGATCATGATCATGATCATGATCATGATCATGATCATGATCATCATCATCATCATCATCATTGACATTGCCATTAGCATCGCCATACCCATTCCGCTCCCACTACCACTACAACTAACATTGCATGTGCCAGCGACATGTGCGCCGGAAGGATGTACAGGTTTGTGCTCGGTTCAATGGAGGTGCAAATGCAGGGCACACGCTGCTTGTTGAGACTTGGATGGATTCAGTTGTGGGGCATATAGTGGGAGAAACTCGAAACAGGTGTTGTTCCGTGGGGATGAGACCTGCCTGGAATTGAGGCAATCTCTTCTAAACAGGGTGTTGGAAGCCAAAATTTCCGCTGGAATTTGATAATTTGAAGGATCTATATTCATTTTGGGGGATGGTGGCTGGTTTGATGTAGGGTATGTTTTGATGCTTTTGCCTGCGCATTTCGCAGCAGATGGGGTGGCTGAGGATGGGAAAAAATATGCTTTCCATTTGCTACCATGCGGCATGATCAACAAGGCCGGATGGTGTGAGTCGCTTAAAACTCAACAAATTGTGCGCTCCCGTGATTGAACCCCAAAGATCCGAGCTGGAACGGTCCATCCTTCAATTTCGTTGTTGGAATCGTGGTATCGCAAGAGGTACGGTGGTACGGTTAGCCCTTAGAATTTTTCATGATACTTTCAAACGGTCATGATGTTCCATGAGCCATCATCAACTCGACTTTGCCTGTTCCAAAATATTTTCGCCAAACCGAAACCAGGCATGCAAGAACCTCATCGGGAATGGCGTGGTCGTGTCGCTTGGTCATTGGTGATGCTAAACGCAAAATCGCAAGTGAATCCAATAAGTGACCTTCCTCAATGTGGTGAACTCAACTTGTTTTTTAAGGACTTCAAATTTGGAAATATGGCAACCCAAGTGGACGGCACTGCATACTACTGTGCCATTCAAAAATCGCGACATGGTTTTGGCCCAAGGCACATTCCGACCTTGATGAAGGAACTTGATGCGCTGAAGGAGCGGCCAGGGAAACGCCTTTAAACATTCCATCCAGTTGGGGCAGTGCTGGGAATGGCCACTGCAGGAGTTTGATCCGCAAGCGCTGGAAAGAGTTTTCATTTCGACTCGTGTGGCTCTGAGTCACGCCCGAACTTGGCTTATGAAATGTCGGAGAAACAACTTAAGCCAACATTCTGGATGGTTTCTTTTTCCCCCATCAACCAGACTTTAAAAAAACGCACGAACACTAACTTCTGCTGCGTAACTGAAATCCCTTCTTGCTTTAGCAAGGTCCACCTCAAAATTCGAGGCCACAATACGTCAAAACTGGATACCTCAAAATAAGATGTTTCAGCACCAGCAATCACCACAATGTGGCCTTGAATTATTTGGCCCCATAGTATCCCATAGCCACCTCCAGCACCGTGCATTGAGGTGCGCATATCCTGCTGGATAGTCATCAGGTGATCGATGGTATTTTGGAGGCTCCTGGGGCCTTCGATGATTGATGGGGATGAGGAACAAGAACTTGGAGATGATTTCCAGATTGGGGGTGAATTGTCTTGGGGTTTCCTGAACACCATTCAGATCTTTCCTACTTGAAACTACAAGATCCTTGAAGGGGTGCACCTTTTCACTGGGCCCTAGCCGTAGAGGCTGAGCAAGGATCCAATTCCATTGGCACCACGTCTCTTGGTTGAGACAGACATCCATCGCCGCGAGTGTTGGCCAGGTTGGTATAGAACCAAATTCATGTCACCAAAGTCCACTTGCTGTCCGTGAGTGAACAAACCCCATTCCATCCCATTACTTTTTTTTGGGCTGTGAATTTGCGGCATGTGAAGACCGTGGTCAGCTGGCTCGCCTAGGAAGCGCGGCATTGGGCCATGCTATTCTTCCAAAGCAATCCGCTCATCGGCAGCAGAATATACCTTCAACGGGAACCTGAAATTGGGAATGAGGGACAGGCAATTTCTTACTTTGAATTTGGTTACTGTAGATGGTGATGGTGGTGATGATTTTGATTATGATGTTGATATGGATGATGACGAAATCATCATCATCATCATCATCATCATCATCATCATCCTCATCATCGTCATCGTCATCGTCATCGTCATCGTCATCGTCATCGTCGTCGTCGTCGTCGTCATCAATGCAAACATGAACATGGAAATGATCACGGACATGACACTGATTATAACAATGAAAGAGGTAGCGATACAGAGGTAACGGCGGTAGTGAGCACCTCACCAGGCAATGGGGTGCGATTTGGCGATTTGTGCCTTGGACCCTTGGGGAGGCTTCGTTCGGAGTTTGATTGTCAGTTTTTCGGTGAGTCAGGGTGAGAAGTCCCAACCACAATGATATTCTCTAGTGGACATCTGCCCAAATTCCCAAATCATGCGTTGTTTGCTGTTTGGAACTTGTCAGTGTTTGGGTTTGGAATAAAACTCATTTTTCAAGGAAAAGGTTGGGGCTAGATGCTTCTGTTTGCAAAATGTACAACCTCCCCTTTATCACTCCTCCACCTGTGCCCGTTTAGGTTGCACTTCGAAGAGTTTGAGCGGAAAATGAGAGATCTTACCGTCTCTTGGATGTTGCCAGCGTGGGGACTGAAGGCCTGTTCCGTGGATTCTGTAAATCCCCATCAAGAAGTGGGACACATGTTTCTCTTGGAACTCTTTGTTTCCCGTTTGCTTCAAACTGTCGCCCCTACTGTATCGGCTGAAGCCCACAGCGCCGGCCGTTCGTTGCACCTGTGGGTGCTGGTTCCGTTGGCTGTGCCATGACGTCTTGCCCCAATGGCGTGGAAGGTAACGTTGCCCTTCTCAGGCCCAGCACCAGCACGGGTATGAAACGGCTTTGATCCTCTTTGTCATCGCGGCATATGGCGACTGCATTGATTCAGGTGATTCTGGTGTATCTCAAGTAAACAAATTGCAAACCTTGAGACCTATGAATTCCGTCTATCAGAGTCAGAAAAAAAAAGCCTGAAGTGAGTGTCCAGAGGTCAACCGAGAGGTTTCTGTTCACAATCTGAATCCAAATCAGATTTCTTTTTGAAGGCACAAGTGTCACAAGGACGTTCAAAATGAGCAATTTTAGTCAACTCCTGGGCAAATGCCCAGTTGCTAGTGTGGTACTTATTTGACCAAATTAATTACTACAGTATACCTTCTGGGGCTTCATCATTGCCATCCTTTTCCATCCACACAAATATTGAATTCCACCATGATCATCAGCGTTCAGCATGCAGTCGATCTATATATGTTGATCTAATACCACCCCCCCCTACGTAGCCTACGGCTTTGTCTTTTCAGGTTCTTTTTAGTGGGAAAAGGTTTAGCAGAAGATGTGATCCTGCACCTCCTCAAGGCCTCTGATGGAAAGCTGTGGTGTGCAGTTGCCGCAGGGTCAACCGGCTGAAGCTTTGCTGGCGAAGGCAGCTGGGGAGTTGGCTTGGAGCCTTTCGTTGTGGGCTCGGGGGGTGGATGGGGGAAAAGTGGGATGACACCACAACCGAAGGTTTCCATGTGGAATTGGAACATCAACACATCAAATAAAGTTTGATGGATTCTTGATGGGTTTTGATCGATTTTAATTACTTCACATGAGTTCCGTCAAAAACCCGGATTTGCGTTTTTGCAGGGTTTTGAGACATTGCTGTCCCCACCACTTTTTTAGTATTCGTCTCAAGAAGCCGTCCTGCACCTATCTGCGGCTGTTGAAGTGCTTGTTTTTTCAAAATTGATTGGCCCTGCGCAGTGAACGATAGCAGAAACCTTATATGTAGCTATCGTTTTTGTTGACCCCGCGCATAGACCGATAACCAAAGCCTTTTACTCAAGATATCCTTGCTGATATTATTTAGCTGACCCTTTGCAAAGACCGATAACCAAAATCTCTCCATCCAATGCTGTCCTGATCTGCATGGTGTGGATTTTTTTTGGGCGCTTTCAGCAAAACCGCCATTGTGGAAATCGTTCCTGGCTAGGCCAGGCTGTTTCTCTTTAATACGTTAGAACGTGCACTTTCTGTTTCTTAGCCGTGGCCCCGAACGATAACCGAACGATAACCAAAAATCCAATTCTAGGGCTAGGCAGAGCAGAGACCGGTTTCAAGATGAATGTTGTGAAAGGACATTCCAGATAGAACGTGTCTGTGATGCGCGGATGTGAAAGACACATTGAGTGAGTAATCCTGAGATGCTTTTCACGTTGTAACTTCCACAAACAGGTGCAAGAACAAAGTGCCTGTAAGATGCTTTCCACCTCATCCGAGCTGCTGCAAAAAAGTGCAAAAACAAACTGCTTGTGAGATGTTTCCCACAGTTTACAGTTTGGCCACAGCACCGAAGAGCAATTACATACAAAACAACATACTGTTAGTGAGATGCGCCAACCCCATGAGCACGCAGCAGCCATAGCCCATCCAGCCCCTAAGGAGCTTCCACAGTGCAAGTGCAACGCAGGGGTGCAAAACCCTTTCCAAGAAGACAGATGCTAGAAATATTGACAAACAGCAGCAGACAACTCTGAAATGAGTATGCCCCAATGCCGCCACTCTTCCGAAGATGTTGAATATTTCCATGGCATTTCCAGACGTTCCAATATTTTTTGTGCTTAAATCCAACATTCGACGCGACCAATAGCCCACTTAAAACCATATCAATTTCCAAGAAGCCGTCCCGCATCAGAATTGTACGATCCAATCCAAACAAGAGTATTCAAAATGTTCATTAGGTTTTTGACATCCATTACAGGTGATTTGTGTTGATGGATTTTCAGATGATGATGATGAAGAAGACACAGTCTTTTCCACTTTCTTGAATTCTTATCCTGATTCTTGCCTCAAGATCTGGAAAAAAAATCTATTGCATATCCCAGGGACTTTCCAAGGCACCTCGAAGTGCCTCGTGGCGCCAGGCGCAAGACTTACTGCGGGGCCTCTTCCAGGACTCCCAGGCACCCAGCGCAACGCCACGAGAGGTGCCAGCGGTGGCCAGCGGTGGGAAGTCACCATGGTTTTTCTGAAGATGTGCAGGGTTACTCCAACCCATTGCATGTACAGATAACAGCAATAACAACAATAGTATACTTAGTATATATATATATAGTAATAACAGTAATCATCTTCTTCTACCCATTTCCACCCTGCAAACGTATTTGGAGTGTTGGGCGCAACTGTGATGTTGGAGCAGTTTGTTTAGGGTTGGAACCAGGCGGCGGAAGGATTTTTGATTGGAAGGGTTGAACCGTGATTTTGGCTGAATGAGCCGGTGAACTCTCATTTTGTGTATCCACTGTGTATGTTTGAACACCACCAATTTTTAGTTGGCTCTTGGCCTTTTTTTTTAAAAGGAGTTGTCCTATCTACTGTTGTGGATTTAACTCGTTCTGCGCAGCCTGGCTTTTTGATTCTGCAGGATTCGCGGGGTGCCGACCTGCCGCTGGTGCCTGCAGCTCTAAACGAGAGACCCATCGTGGAAAAGGTGCAGTGGGAGGGCCAGGGCGAGCCTGGCTGAGATCACTTGTGTTTTGAAACGGGGAGGCTACCATCATTTTTGTTGCCACCTGTTTGTGACAGTAGTATTGAGTTTGTATGGTTTGTTTAATTTGCACTAGAGGCCAAATATTGCTCCTAGAAGCTATGACAATATGTCAAGGTCACAAAGTGTGGTCTGACTATCTATCTTTCAAAGAGCGCCGTCGCATAGGCAAGCGAGAGGTATTCTTAGATGACGACTTTGGTGCCCCGAGGTATTCCCAAGAATCATCAAACATTAATTTCAAACGCGAAATGGCCAGACATGCCAATCTTGCGAAGACCCAGGCGGAACGATCTGTTGTGCACAGCCCAATTTCTGGGATAGCCCATAGTTTGTTCAATTCTTGGTAGTACATATTCCGCGGTTGCTTACCCTTGCGAATTGTTATTGCCAGAAATCCGGTGTTATGTGTTATTTGGACTGCCACTGCTCTCTTTCAACCAGGAAATCTCGTTCTCACAGTGGTTGCCGGACTTCCATTTTCGTCAACTCCCACCTTTTAGTGGTGAAACATGGTCAACAACCTTGCTCCAGGAGGTGCCGCCACCCCCTGGCGCTAAGCGGCGCAAGGGGACGCCGGGGTCTGGTACCTGGGCATCCCAGCCCCCCAAACACCCCAGAAACCATGGTGGATATTGGGGATCCCCACATAAAACCATGGAATGGGGGTGTTTTAGATGGGACCAGGGTACAGGTTACCTATGGTTACCTACATCCCAACACGAAGCAGATGCCGCTGAATCTTCAGGCTACATGCTCTTCGTGAACGAGAACTTCTCGCGCGTCCGCGCCGAGTTGTCGCAGGCCGCCGAGGAGGAGGAGTCTGTGGCCAGCGTGGCTGCCGCCCAAACAACACAGCCTAGCTTCAGCAGCATCGCTAAGGAGAGCCGTGGGAATTCGGGAAGCTGGAACCAAACTTTTGGGGAAAACATGGTGGGCAAACTTTGTATGACATGTTGTTCTGAATGTTGGATATGTTGGCCTCTTGAAATTCCAGTTGGCACGCAGATTGATTTCATCTTGAGAAGTTTGGTATGCAGAACTTGCTGAGTGTGAACATGTTTGGCGGCCCCATTTTGTGTATGGCCTTGAGGAGGCAGCAGCTCAATGGCGAGCGCTCCCGCGCCATGAGCAATCGGAGTATACCACACGTGCGGCGGCGCTGAGAGAGTCGAGGTGTGGGGATGTGGGAAGGGTTTCATAAATGGATGGGATGAACCACAGCAACCCCAAAGAGATAGAAAAGTATGTTGCCACTATTTCGGTAGGAATGGGCTGGTTTATCCACCTCCAGAAATGGTTGCAGCGTCAAGAACTTTAGGATTCCATTGCCAGAATTGATTCTGATATAGGTCCTTGGTTTCAACGAGAAACGTTGGAGAGGCAAATGTTGGCATACCTATTTCTCATTACCCTCGGGTGAAAAGTAGATAGATTGGTGTGTAGTAGATACCTTGGGTGAGCAAGCCCAAGTCGCCAAATTTCATCCACTCCATCGATTTGATGATTCTTTGATGACTCCCATCCCTAGCTGCCCTAGCCATCTCCAAAGATTCGTAGAAGAGGCCTGATGGGGCACCGGAAGCGCCAAGAGCCACAGGCCTGCCCAAGTTGTTTTTGTGGTTTGTGTCGTGAAGAAATTGGGACAGTAGTAGAATGCTCATGATGGTAGGGAAAACTCAAGACGTTTCACGGTCCTTAGGCCGTATCCAATTTTTGAGGAAAGAGATTAAGAAAGATGCGCATATGCAGAGCCTGCTCTACATTTACCCCACTTTTTGCACTTTCTATGTGGTTAATTTGGATGCTTTTTGCGGCCTCCGTAGGATTTTTTAGGATACCAGAGCCATGGTGTTTTCCAGCTCAGCTTGACCTACAGGAGCCCCCAGAGGCAAAAACCAGTCATTGCAGTCCTACAAGCGAAAATGGATTGAGCAACTTTGCAGCATCACCTCCGGGCCTGGTATACCATGGTTTGTGGCAAATCCAGGATTCCTGGCTTAGATGTTGATGAAGGTTAGGTGGTGTGCTTATCCTGCTGTCAGTTTGCCCGTTTTTCGTCCTCTCTGCTCTCGTGATGTGAAAAATGTGTGCCGGTGTTTGCCTCCTGGTTCACACATCGAGCCGCCCGAAGACGCACAAAAGATCGCTTTGTAGCCTACTAGTGGGGGGTGGGATGTGTTCGAATCCTCAGGCAAGAGTTGGCAAAGTGGGAGGAAGAGCTGCGGGCTGAGTGGGAAGCCTTCTCTGCAGACGAGGTGACACGCAATGAGTTCTTCATCATCAGTCGTCAGTTACCATGGAATATCATAGAATCATCATGATCAAAATCAGCCACTGGAGTTACATATTGCTATGGGTAACAACCCTGGTATCCTGGTGGTAGTTCTGGATGTTCATTCCGCTAAAATGTGGACAGCTACAGGTTTCGACTGATTGGTATTTTCAGAATACAACCTGGTTTGAACACCGCCAGGTGAGCGCTCAGCTCATGGCTTTCAAACTGAGCCCTTTGCCGAGCATTGTTGCCATGCGTCCAGAAGAGGGACCACCCTGGAGATTGATATGGAATCTTTATGGAGTTCCGACAATGGATTTGGAACTGGGGCATAAAATCCGACTTGCGCATATGCAAGGAGGGCTTTGTTTCAAGGGGGGTAGAGAGGTAGATGGGGAGAATCAAAGTTTGGGGATGAGCGACGGAAACCAAGGCTGGTGGGTCATAGTTAAACAGTCAACCACCTTAAAAAATCTCAAAACTATATAAACCTGGAAATTCTTTTCCTCACCTGCCAGGTGAGGGTTTCTGTCATGTCAGATAGTCACTTGGCGGGGATCACCCCACGAAGAAAATGCTTTTCATGGTCAGCTTCCCGGGGGGTGAGGGCTGTGGGCTTAGCCAACTGGACTGAGACGCAGACACACAGATAGATTCAGATAGATGGATGGATAGATGGATAGATGATTAGATGTTAGATAGAAGATGGATAGATGGATGGATGGACAGACAGACACAGACAGACAGATATGAATGTATATATATATATATTATAATCTATATATCTATATAATTCTATATATATATATCTATATATCTATATATATATTATATCGCTGTGTGTGTATCTCATGAAGCCAAAAAGTACGGAGCATCAGGGACTTCCTGACCAAGGTGGCTTGCCGGGCCACGACCGCTTGGGATCCACCTTGGACGCAGTGGTGTCCCAGCGGATGGCAGGTCCCGCGGGTCCCGGTCCGGAGCCCCAGAAGTTGGATTATGTAAGATCTACCCTCTGGTAATTTAACGTAGCTATTGAAAATGGCCATAGAAATAGTGGATTTACCCATTAATAATGGCCATTTTCAATAGCTACGTTAAATTACCAGAGGGTAATGATCTATATCATTTATATCCCTAGAATCTATAGAATCCATAGAATCCCAGATATCTAATGTTTCATTATTATATATATATATCCCTTTAGAATCTATAGAATCCATGGAATGCTTGGTATTTTAGTCTGGAAATCAGTCGCATAGCTGGAAAATCATTGCCAATGATAAATCGTTTCGCTATCCATCTGACTGCGACGATCGGAGATGGGATTTTCGATACATGCCGAGCCAAGCAGAGCCTGGCAATCTAACGTGACAATGAAAAATCTATAGAAATTTATGGTACAAGGTCATCGACAAATAGGGAATCTGCCATGGCCACGTTGAATTCCCAAATACACGGGGTTGGTGAGGAAACGGTTGGTTTTTACTTGTGCCAGGCGACGAATTCTACCTCCAGGTGTGGAAACTTCCCAGCTAGTGTTGTATTTGGGTAGCCTGGCAATGAACAAAAGAAAGCATCACCACGGGGGTATTGACCATCAGTAGCGTAAACCCATTGGATGTGCCTCCTTGAGGTGGCGCTGCGGCATTGCTTTCCCGACTGGGTCTGGCCAACTCTCATCTTCCTCACCCGGCGGCCTTGTACGCTGAGTGGGAGGCCAGGGAGGGAGGTTGTTTCTGACATTGATGTGGGGCATGTGGTTCAGCTGGGAAAGCCGTCACACCCAAATTGACTCAAATAGCTGCAAGAGAGAGAGAGAGAGAGTGATGTGTATAGCTTGATGTTTATACCGAATTTATACCTGTATACCCATGAATCTCAGGACAATCGAAAACTTCACTGGCTGGGGAATCATGTAAATTCATTGGAAAAGAATGAAACACAGATTTTGACCCACCAGGCAGTGGCCTGTCATCCGAAGCCAGGTATCATCCAGGGACTCCGTGGGTGCGGAACTTGAAACAGCCACTTGGGCGATGCCTTGACTGTCCGCGCGCCGTAGGCGTGGTTCAAAATTCGTTGGGGCCAAAGGAGCGACTTGAGCCAAGCTAACCAAACTCTAACTATCAATTTTTGAGAGTCTCCAACAATATGGGTCCCCCAGTGGTAAGTTGGTTTGGTTTCGCCTAACAAACACAACACTTGGCTAAGCATGTGGGAACAACCTTGCACCACCTCGCAATATATTCCTTGATGTCACCATGATAAACCCATGGTATCCTCATAGTAACCTCATTGTGATTGGTTTATCGCCATTATATCCCCAATATATCCCATTATATCCCAATATCCCCATTACATCATTACATCCACATTTATATCCCATTAAATCACCGTTTTTGCTGATTCACCATTATCCCGTAATATCATTCCCATTATACCCCGACTATGGTTGGTCGCATACCATCAAATCTTTTTTTTTTTTTGCTCTTATCAATTTTATACCATTCTATCCCGTTAAATTCCATGAAATCACAATTTTGGATGGTTTAACCATGTTAAGTTCCAACAAAATCCTACAAACTGGTTGGTTCAATGGTCCAATTCATCCCTTTTTTCGGACAATCTGAGGCGACGGCCGAGTGCCTGCGGCGCTACCGCATGCTGCCGCCCCATCGCATGGCGGCCTTGTGGTCACTGGTGGCCAGCCGAATGCTGCGGCAAGAGGAGCAGTGCCTTTAAGGAATTTCCTCAAGTTGTTCTTCCTCCAAAATTTGGACCAGTAATTGCCGCAACCCTGCTAAAAGCATGCCTTCCAAGCCAGCATTCAAAAACACAATCTGTCAGAAAATAGGGGTGTTTGGCTCATCCTACCTTGGATAACAGTCTCAACAATGTTGAAACCAACAACCACAATGTGTTGCCCCATACTTCCCATCAGATCTCCGTAGAGCGCCATTATACAGGATACACCAATTTTTGTTTAGGCCCAGTCAATATACCAGATTCAAACCATAATCTATCCTGTTGTATCCTCTTGTATCCCATTCAACCCCCAGTATATACCATTAAACCGCAATTTTTGGAGGGTGACGGCTTTATTGTAGATCTATAGTCAACTTCCCAGGAGCGGATCCGCAACACCCTGTGCAGAGAGCTGGGCATGGTCGAAGCCATGGATGCCAAGGAGCGTTATCCAGGGAAAACTTGAGGCATTTACTCCTTAAAACAATGATGATTTATGTGCTAAACATGTGGATTTGCCTCTTAAGACTGGGATTTACTTGTTGAACATGTGAATTTCACTGAGAAAGCGGAGGCCTCAGGCCATTGTTGGCGACATGCTAGTGGCAAGGGACGATGCGTCGGCATCAAACTCGGTGTCTTTTTGGGCGGAAAACTGCAGGGTTTTCTACCAAATCTGGTTTTAAACCAAAGTTTTTTTTGGAGATTTGTGCTAACCCAAACTGGTGCCTACTGGAAGAAATCCCTTAGAGACGTCCTTTCACACTTCTTTGACTAGATCTCAGAATTGGTTGAAGGTAAAATGCATAGGAAATCTCCGAAATCACTCGGACAGAAACCACGGTTTCCCGCAGATTTCCTTAAATTATTCCATCGACACCTCATTTCTTTCTTGGTTATCCCCATGTACCACCTTTTTTCATGGTGAAAAACCGGTGAAACCCAACATGGCCGTGCATAAAGAGAGCTTGAGGCTGTCCCAGTCCACGCAGGCCGCCGAGCTTCCGCAACCCGCCTACGAGCACTTCCGCGCGCAGCGACTTCGCAGCTGCAGCAACACTGGGGCTGCTGTGTTGCAGCTGCCCGAGGGAGGCAGGGGGGGGACAGCGGAAGGGGGATTCAACCCATGTAACCGAAATAGACCAAACATAGGGGATGATTGGGATGATCTAAAGCATCAATGATGGTGGTTGATTTGGTAGTTTTATATATATATATATAATGATCTCTCTATTTAGATACCCAACTTGGAAACACGCCCAGATTCCAGCTCCTATGTTACAATAAGTCTCATGGCTTCAAAAGCCAGCAATAGGGCTTACTGAATACGAGCAAAATTGTGTTTGGTAGATTTGGTAGTTGGTCATGCGTTTCGTTCAAGCGTTCTATCCATCGTTTCGTGTTTGTAAGAGCTCTTGAATACCCTCTGGTAAACTAACATAGCTATGGAAAATCACTATTTTTAATGGGTGGGTAAATCCACTATAAATGGCAATTTTCAATAGCTTTTTGTTAAATTACCAGAGGGTAAACATCTTTTTTTTATCGGTACCACGTGTACCGGTGAGGTGAGGACATCGATCCTCTGTGGGAGCTTGCACTGGAGGAGGAGTTCTTGAACCTCGACGAGGTAGGGCTTTTTTATGTGAGTCATTTATTCCGAAGGGGGGCCATAAATTCGGCATAAATCCACAAAACTTGGGAAGTCGGCGAAGTCGGATAGAGTCGGATAGAGAAACAAGAAAAGGTCTGCATCCAGGAATCCATGACCGCGACTGCGACCAAGAAAAATCCTTCCCTTTTCCTTACCGAAACCTCGGCAGGGCGAACTGATGCGGTGGTTTCCTGAGCCTGGCAGCCAGAGTTCTGACTCCATGGCTGGGAGCTGATCTCTCCAAGTGACCAAAAACTCCTGCGATTTTTTCCATGATAATCAATCGCACCTGATGATCCTGATGGACAATTTGGACAATCATTTCAATTTTGGATGTTTGTGGCCTTGAAGCCCCTGAAGTATTAGATTTTGGATCACTTGGCGACTCCAGACTATCCCGAATGCCGGTGATAGTCAAGCAGGTGCTTGGGGGTAAGGCACGAAAGCTGATGCATCTGATCGGAAAGACGGCGGCGCCAGTTCAGACAACGCACGTTGCATGCCCTTCATGCCCCTCAAAAAATCCCAAGATGCAAGAAGTTGCAAAAAGGTTGGGAAATAGATCCATGCTTCCACGTCTACGTCTCTGAAAGTGGACAGTTGCCATCAGAAAGCGATTGTCGCTGTCTTTGACCTGCACATGAATTCGCTGACAAAGTTTCCGAGTCCATCTATCACCCATTGAAAAAGGGTGTCCTAATCCCAGCGTCCCGGGCCGTTGTTGTCAGAGGTTGCCAGCAAGATTACAGTAAGACATGCAACTGAACATCACGAGGTACAGGGAGAAAGAGAAAGAGAACTCATGGCTGGCAACGAGCCTCTGTAAGAATCTCAATTGTGGAGGAGTGCAATTGGCCAGGGATTCCGAGCCTGCCCAGTCTTGAATCAGAGGCTTCCCATCCATAGTGCGATCAAAATAGCTGCGGTCATGGTGATGCACGTTTTTTCAACTTGTTCCAACAAGATAAAGGTGGACATCAACTTCTGGAAATTATATAAAGGTTTTTGGTGGTTTTTGACTTGCTGCCCAAAAGCCTGAAGCTGAAGGGGGGGGCTATCCGGTGTTTGGTCGTTCCCTGCATTGGAGAGCCACACCATACCACCAACCAACTTGACACAACCCACCCATTCGACTACCAAGGCTTGGTCTCAGAAGCGCTACAGCCACCCAAGGGAGAGGGACTCACCCGCACAACTGCAGTTGAGGAAAGCCTTGCGGGAATACAATACACGGCCGGGCCGCCCAGTGAGGCGGCTTTGGTATTGGTCATGCTTGGGGAGGCTTGGGAAACCAGGGGCGCATAGATGCGCTCCTTAAATTTTTACAGCACCTCCAGAAAGCGCTGATGTCCAGCGGCGAAGGTCTGCCTTCGATCCGGAACATGGACAAAAGGGGGGCGTCACTGACCTCGAAGAGGAGATACAGCGCTACAAGAGGCGGGGCTTTTGGATATCTAAGCTTAGCCAGGGGACCTAACTTGGGTTGGAAGTTGGGATGCGGATCAGCCAAGTCATTCGCAGTATCTTTCCCATTTTTGGGAAGATTCACCAAAAACGATCCAACTATCTCCACATGTTGCGTTTTTCCTTACGGCTTGAAACTGAGAAACCATCTCTGATCCACTCCACTCCCCCAGGTACGCCGAGCTCCTCAGGACACAGATCGTGGATTCCGTGACGTTTCTCCATTCCGAGGTCTCCCTGGGATCCAAGGTGCTGGTGGAAGGTGCCAATGCTGCACTTCTTGACGTTGACTTCGGCAGCTTGGCATGGCATGGCATGGCTGATTTTGGAGTTTCCAGCTTCCTATGCGAGAAGTGCCGTGATTGCCCAGGTTCAACATGGAACGTTTTCAGAACCAATGCCTTTATTGCATTTTTTGGCTGCATTTCATCAAGTTTCGAAGATTGTGGAAACATGAGGCATCCTTCAAAACGACTGCTTCGTTCTTGGTAATTCTATTCTAATGGCTTGGAAATTTTCAGTTAAAACAGCGCGTCCTGCACTGCTCTTGGGCCACTCTTTCGGTTCAGCGCGGCATCTGGGGCCGCACAACGGCCCTCAGAAACCAGCAGGCAGTCTGCACAGCTTCAGGCCGCCACCGGCAACTGCAAAGATGTTGATAATTCTGCATGACTTTGACTCAAAGATCTCATTCTATTGCTATCCCACTCATCTTTGCCATCTTTGTCATCTTAGGGTCTTATTTTGGCTGTTCAGACATTTTCGTCCCCAGATGATGCACCAGACCGGCGCCGTAGGCCCCACATGGCATTGCTGAAGGGCTGCTCCCTGCGCTGCCTGGCCAGCCGCGGCCGGCGTTTCTTTGCGGATGTGCCCAAGGCTGTGCAACCCAGCGAGGGCCAGGCGAGAGCTGGGGGCCATCTCTGGGACCAGGGTTACTTCAACCATTCTTCAACCTATGGTGAATCATTGTCAGCCAGGGGAGGACACTGGGCATATTTGAAAATCTGAAAAAATACACAGTTAGTTGTTGGTATACCCACCCATTGTTTGATCGAGATTTGTGTTTTTGGGCCTTGGAAGTTGCCATCACCGGCACCGCAGGTGACGCCAACGTATCCCCAAGTCTATGGCCGAGTGGAGGAAACAGTGATGTCACCGTACAAAGGAGGTGCCATGAGGGGCAGCTACGGTCCTGAAGAGGGCAGCTGTTGCAGTGAACGGACTATCTGGCATCGTGTTTCTTTTTTTAAATGTTTATGGGGAGTCCAGGAAACTGCTTTCCGAAGATCTGAGATGTCAGGGATGAAGATGAACGCTTTTTCGGACGGAGCCTCCCCAAATTTGACCAAAGGTAGCTTCATCCTGCGGCACATCTGAGATTTCCGGTGACCTATGGCCACTATGGCCACTATGGCCTTATTTGTTTTATTTTTGTGGCCATTTGGCCAGGCCCCGTCTATCTCTGGCTGCGCTCCAGCATTGTTTGGCTGCGCCGCTTCCCCGGGCGACATTGGATGCGTTGGATCGAGCGCAACTCCGACTACCAGAAGATGTGCTTGATGGGCATGCCAGAATTTCACATTGATCCCACCAAGAACCGCTGGAGGCGGGGCGATAGCTGTGGGCAGCAAGGTGATGAAAAACATGGAAGGTGCTTGTTTCTGAGGACCTGGAGGGATCTGCCTTGCAAGAGTCAATCATAGTCAATCCTTCAGTTTTTCTTTGCCCCAAGGCCCCAAGACAGATTGGTTCAATCCCTTGGGCAGGTACTACATCGACACCAGCTACTATGGCGGCATGTTGGACAAGAGCCATGAGGATTTCTACCGCTACATCTTGTTGTACCCGGCAATCGCCTTCTTCCTCCACTGCACCTGGTGCCTGGTGTTTGTTGGGATGGGTGGCCCTAGCACCAGATCAGCAGATCATATTGTGGGTTATATAACTTACTGTTTTTGCATTGGCTGGACCCTGATATGCGCATTGCATACATACACATGTATAATATACTGTATTCATTTCCATATTCTCTATATTTACTTTATTTCTTTATTTCTTTATTTTTTTACTTGCTTGCTTGCTTGCTTGGTTGCTTGCTTGCTTACTTCCTTGCTTGGTTGCTTGGTTGCTTGGTTGCTTGGTTGCTTGCTTGCTGCCTTCCCTCCTTCCCTCCTTCCCTGCTTACTTACTTATTTACTTACTTACTTATTTACTTACTTACTTATTTACTTACTTACTTATACTTACTTTCTTTACTTACTTTACTCTAATTTACTTTACTTACTTTCTTATCTTACCTTACCTGACCTGACCTGACCTTACCTTTACTTTACTCTACTTTAATCTACTTTACTCTACTCTACTCTTACTGACTTACTTACTTCCTTACTTCCTTACTTATCTACTTACACACATACACACACACATGCACATACACATACCTCTCTCTCTCTCTCTATTGTGGCACCCTGTGAGTCTTTCTTGCTTGAAATTATCCATGTTTGTGGCAGATTCCCAAGGTCCTATGATTCCATGGATTTGCCCGACCAACATTCTTGGGTCAACAATTCGAGCGGCGGTCAGTTCTGGGATCTATCCATCCACTCTGGACATCTCTGGACATCTCTGGACATCTCTGGACCAATCTGTGTGGTTCTGTTATGTTCTACCCCATTGTTGGTTGAGCATGGTTGAGCATGGTTGACCCAGTTGACTCATTCATGTCCCTTTGGTGAGCCCCGGACAGCTGGCACGAATTAGTGAAACCACCGCAGGTGTCGTATCAAGGACAACGACAAGGACAATTTCCTGGCGAAGTGGCGCGTGCCTGCGGAGGAAGCCTGAGAGGGATGCCGTCGCCGACCGACCGACTGAGAGATCTTCGATGTTTGAAAAAGAGCGCAGGGCAGCGGGGCGTGAACTCTGTGGTATTTCTGAAGAATTCAAGAAAATGAAGCCAATTTTAGATGAGGAAAGGAGATAGATAGATAGATTAGATTAGATTAGATTAGATTAGATAAGATAAGATAAGATTAGATTATATAGATTAGATTAGATTAGATTAGATAGATAGATCGATCGACAGACAGATAGATAGATAGATAGATAGATAGAGAGAGAGAGATATATATATAGAGATTGGAGAATTCAATTTTCTGTTGCCATCTTGGGACATCTAGACATACTGAAGGGACCCTACCACAATCTACCACATAATGATCATATTGAGCAAGCGCCACATCTCGCATTTGCCTTCACCTCCCAATCGTGGGTTTATCAATTTGAACATTGCACACACGTCCCCGAAGATCGAAAAGCAAGTTCCTACACTATTCTGATTGCGAGGACCCCTATGGCTCTGGGTCAAATTTGAGTTTTCCCAGTATTTAGTATTGGACATGAGCAAATTCAGTGGTTTGCTGGTCTTACATTTTGACCCATCCGCACATGGGTTTGCCTGAAATTAGTCTACCCCAAAATTCAGTGGTTCTCATCATTTTCACTAGGGGTGTGCCCCATTGTCAGACACAGCACACAAACTGTATATATATATAAATATACATATAATATATAATATATAATATATTGTTGATCGAATCATATCCCATTATCTATTCACATTTGATTCCCATCATATATTTCTATTACATGTTATCCTATTATATCCTATTCTCATTATATATATATATATGTATTTATTATATCCACTTGTAACTCCCTATCATACATTCCCCGCACATATTTCCGAAAATACTGGTTTGACCCCTCCCCACATTCTTCCTGGTCCCTCAAGGCACCTATCCCTTCGTCACCAGTTCCAACACCACGGTGGGCAGCGTGTGCACCGGGCTGGGCGTTCCACCGAAGTGTGTGGACACCGTGATCGGCGTGGTGAAGGCATATACCACGCGTGTGGGACATGGGCCCTTCCCCACGGAGCTGCAGAATGAGATGCAGTCACTGGAGGCGGAGAGTTGGGGAGCCTCTGATTGATAAATTGATTCTAGAAAAATCAAATTCTTATTGTTTACTGGGATTTCTGAGATAGGGGTAGATTCCCAGGGTACCTTCATGATCTTCATGTAATCCATGACTGATGTAAGGAGTGTAGAGAGCGTATTGAAAATGCTCTCTGAATATAATATGACACTAAAAGTATACTAATATGATATAAAAATAGCATTTATATCCTTCACCGGACACTTTTTTTGAGATCTCCTTGTGGAGCTCCACAAGTGGAGCTCCAAGGATGACCGCTCTAGGACTACGAGGAGACCTTCATCGGTCCTGCGGCCACCTTCGAACGAAAAGGCCACACAGGCACTGCCGGGCAGTGCCACAAGCACCGAGGTCTTCGTTCCATCATCACATCACCATTGCGAAGATTATCACTAAAAAGACGACATGTATACAGATACATGTGCATATACAGATACACACACACATATATATATATATATACAATATTAATATTATGCGTATACATTCGGATATAGCCCACATACATATACATATTGTGGTATATTCATACATGTATTAATATGTGGGTGGTTCGTCTGCCAATCCCCTGTTGGGTAATCATCATGGTGCCTCTTTTTAGATTGCCATGTAGCAAGCGGTCTACCCGCTATACCCGGTAGATCCACTTATCATGGCTAGCTATATCAACGGCCATTTCAGGAACCTAAATTGGAAGTACCTACCATATATAAGGCCTATTTTTTAGGCATCCTGGAGATCTCCCATTGACTATACTATACATCTCAATATGATGGTTGGTGATGTTGGTTAGAAACGGTTAGATCCTCGATTGGTGAAATCCTGTGGATATCTGTGGATCTGGTCCCACTGCCAGGTGGCCCTTTCACCTGCTCTCCGGGTCAGCCGGTGAAGGACGGGGACGACGGGGACGACGGGGACGGGGAGAACGCCATGGGGGCCATGGTTTAGTCCGGAATTGTTGCATGTTTTATTTTCCTATGAGATGGGATGGTTGCATTTTTTAAAACCTCGTTTCTTTATTTTGTTTTACTGTAGGTTTTGTTTCTCTTTTTTATTGTTTGCTTTTTCATGTCTGCCAAAGTTACTTTTTTGCCTTTTCCAAATCCTCATTTTTCCATTGCACATTTTTTAGAACTCTTCTTTTCCTGCCATGTTTACTTTCCAAAAATCTTTAGTGTTTAACAATTTTATATTATTTTGGCATTTTCCAGTCGAAGCAAAACCTGTTTCTTCAATACATAACATTAGGGACTATGTAGTGGCCAATACGTGGCCAACAAGCGGCCCAAAAGTGACCAATAAGTGATCAAGGCCAATATGTTTGTTAGGAGCTTTATTTTTGTCATGGACGTCAATCATTAATCCTATGTTTCGACCGTGGCACATGGGGAACTGTTCACCCACAGCCGTGAATCCGTGAAACCAGTGAGAAGACGGCGGCACGGCTCGAAGAATTCTTGTCGACCGTGGGTGTCGGGTGTCGTGAGTTCCAATGCTTCAAATAAGCATCTCATTCCCGAGTGGTTGTGGCGACACGTTTTTATGTCCTGAGCTCTCCAAAGTGGGAGACTTGAAACTCCTGGCCCAAAGATCTTTCAGACAGGGCTTCTTGAAACTCGTCACTGCAAAGGGATGTCTCCTGACCAACCTTACAGACTCTTTGCAAGCTGCAGGTATTCAGGATGGTGAGCACCTGATAGCCGTGGCACAACAGGGACAAGTAAGTACAACAAAGAAAGCTTTTGCAGCCTGGTGCTATGGAGGCAACTGCGTGGTGGCTTGGGGCCCTCCAGAATCTGGTGGTGACTCTTCCGGAATCCGAGATCAACTCAGGAACGTGCAGCAAATTCAAGCAACAACAGGTGGCGCATTTTCTGCTATCTTGGCCGATGGATCAGTGGTTGCCTGGGGCCTCCCACACTATGGTGGTAACTGCTCAGCAGTTCAAGTTCAGCTCAGAAATGTGTAGCAAGTTCAGGCGGCTGATGCTGGTGCATTTGCTGCAATCTTGGCTGATGGATCGGTCGTGACCTGGGGTGACAAACACTGCGGTGGCAACAGCTTTGCAGTTCAAAATGAGCTCAGAAATGTGCAGCACGTTCAAGCCACAGACGAGGCATTTGCCGCCATCCTGGCCGATGGATCCGTGGTTGCCTGGGGCGATCCAGGCTATGGTGGCGACTGTTCAGCTGTTCAAGATCAGCTTAAGAATGTGCAGCAAATTCAGGCTACAGATGCTGCATTTGCTGCGATCTTGGCCGATAGATCGGTGGTTACGTGGGGCAATCCCAAATTTGGTGGCGACTGCTCAGCAGTTCAAGATCACCTCCGGGATGTGCAGCAAATTCAAGCAACAACAGGTGGCGCATTTTCTGCGATCTTGGCAGATGGATCAGTGGTGTCCTGGGGCGTCCCACAACATGGTGGCGACTGTTCAGCTGTTCAAGATCAGCTCAAGAATGTGCGGCAAATTCAGGCCACAGATGCTGCATTTGCTGCTATCTTGGCCGATGGATCAGTGGTTGCCTGGGGCCTCCCACACTATGGTGGTAACTGCTCAGCAGTTCAAGTTCAGCTCAGAAATGTGCAGCAAGTTCAGGCGGCTGATGCTGGTGCATTTGCTGCAATCTTGGCTGATGGATCGGTCGTGACCTGGGGTGACAAACACTGCGGTGGCAACAGGTCAAAATGAGCTCAGAAATGTGCAGCGCGTTCAAGCCACAGACGAGGCATTTGCCGCCATCCTGGCCAATGGATCAGTGGTTGCCTGGGGCTCTCAAAACAATGGTGGTGACTGCTCCGAAGTTCAAGAACAGCTCAGGAATGTTCAGCAGGTTCAAGCCACAGACTTTGCATTTGGAGCGATCTTGGCCGATGGATCCGTGGTTGCCTGGGGCGATCCAGGCTATGGTGGCGACTGTTCAGCTGTTCAAGATCAGCTTAAGAATCTGCAGCAAATTCAGGCTACAGATGCTGCATTTGCTGCGATCTTGGCCGATAGATCGGTGGTTACGTGGGGCAATCCCAAATTTGGTGGCGACTGCTCAGCAGTTCAAGATCAGCTCCGGGATGTGCAGCAAATTCAAGCGACAACAGGTGGAGCATTTTCTGCGATCTTGAGCGATAAATTGGTTGTTTCCTGGGGCTCTCCAAAGCACGGCGGTGACTGCTCTGCAGTTCAAGACCAGCTCAGGAATACGCAGCAAATTCAGGCCACCGATGGTGCATTTGCTGCGATCTTGGCCGATGGATCAGTGGTTGCCTGGGGCGATCCAGACAAAGGTGGTGACTGCTCGGCAGTTCAAGATTTGCTCAGGAATGTGCAGCAAATTCAAGCCTCCTTTGGGGCATTTGCCGCGATCCTAGCTGATGGATCAGTGATTGCTTGGGGCCACCCAAACTATGGTGGTGATCATTCCGCAGTTCAAGATCGGCTTCTGTACTTGTAGATATATTTGCAGTATATTGCACTACAGTTTCCAAACAGGCTTCAGGGGCGGCAGTTTTTCGTTTCGGGAAACAGCTGCCGCCAGCGCCCCGTGAACCACAGCACTACGTCCACAGATCTGTCAAGGCAAAAAAAACGTGCGGATTTCGGGATTGCGAAGTGGGTACGGTAAAAGCATTGGCTTCTCCATTTGGGGGTCAAAACCCTATCCCCCTGGAAAGTAGCTGGTATAAATGGATGTTCATCCCCCTAAAAATGGTATGTATAGGTATTGATCCATAGCCATTTCTCTTTCATAGCCTACACTGAAGCCCAGTGGCCCCATGAAGCCTGGACATATCCAGGTGGGTATGATGCTTCAAGAAGTTGGTGCAGAGTACGGCACGACCACTGGACGAAGGAGGAGATGTGGCTGGCTGGATCTGGTTCCTGGCTGGCCATTTGGGTGAAGTGGGGAAGAATTGGTGAGGATACTGTAGATTTTTCTGGCTACAGAATGGGAGAAATTTGCAGGATTTTGACTTGTGTTCAGCTTATATCTCTACAAATATATTGCTATTTATATGTATATTTGTATATGTATATATGTGTAGATATAATATTTATGGCATATCTTTTTTGAAAGGGCATCTGCTGCATGCCATGAATTAGCTCCATCTGGAAAGGGTCATGATGCTTAGAATTCAGCTACGAGCGGGTCCCCAATGGAGGGACTTCCCAACTTTTCTTTGTTTTTCAACCTTAAACGCCTTGGCAAGATGCGCTTCTTCCGACCTGATGCCATGGCCCAGGCTTTGGTGAAGTACTCTGCCCTGGTGAACGGCTTTGACAGCCTGAACATCACCAAGCTGGATGTCCTTACAGGGCTCAAGCAGATCCGAGTGGCCATAGCTTACAGGCTCCGGGAACTTTTCGAGGGCAGGTGAAGGTTCCTAAAGGTTTGGCATCGTTATGCCGTTGACAGCTCCGCAGCTGGAAATGTTTTTGTTTGGGCGGGGGGTGGGGGTGAAATGTCAACACAGTGGCAAATTGTGGCATGGGGGCTTTAACGCGATGATGCGCCAGGAAAAAAACATTAAATGGCAACGAGTGGGACGCCATTTTGACACCCGTTTTTTTGGTGGAACCTACATCATCCTGGGGCTTCCAGTTGCCTCCTTTTGATTGGTAAACTGCCAATGGTTCTTAACATCTTTATCCCTTATGCCCCAGCCAAATGATAGTGGCATCCACGACCTCACCACTGATGTTTCAGGGTAACCAACTCGCATGACTTGGCTCAGGTGGGTGAAGGGGTCCAATTTCCACATCTCACAGAATTAGGTTGAAAAGTTATCTTAAATCAAAACCAGGCTTTTGATTGGAAAAACAATGAAGACATATATCCGATTTTGCTAAGCTTCCAGCCTACCCATTGACATGTCATGATATTCCCATTCTCCATATTCTCCCCGTGCCGGTTGGCGGCCCGACCCTACTTCGCGCAGAAATCGGCGGATGACCGAAGTGCGGCTTCCCAGCGGCTACTTCCCATCACACCTGGATGATCTCAAAGAAGTGGTCTGCGAATACGCCGCTTGGTGCTGTGCGACCAAGTGGCCGTGGGGAGACCAGGTATATCACTATGGTATCGCTAAGGTATCCTTGAAAACCGGTGTCCAAAATGGCCGGTTTCTCCTAGGAAACACAATTTTCTCCACTGATAGTGTGGAACCACCCTCCAGTAAACCAAGACAGTCCTCGAAAATCCATAGCTTTTTTGTATACAGCCCGTCCTACATGGTGCACCCGGCTGAGGAGACTCTGCAGGGCTGGGCCGAGGACATCTCCCACTGCACCAGCTGGGAGGAGCTTCCAGTGAATGCTCGGAAGTACGTGGAGAGGACTCCGCGGCCCGCGGCCGATGGTTGGGGCTTGGTCCATGGTGTTGTTTTTGTAGGACATTGTAGGACCGTAGAACCCCCAAACAAAGACAAATAGGTGAAATCCTAGTAGACTAATCTAGGCTTGTCTATCTTTAGATTGGTAGAGGGATCGAGATGGGACATGCTTGGTTGGGAGCCACCGTGAGCTGTTATTGGCATTGGGGACATATCTTGCGACTAGACTATAGTGTAAGGTTTGTTATAAACCAGCTTGTTAACTGAGGGGGCCCTTCTTGTTTGGTCAATGAGTCAATGAGATGACTTTTGGCCATTACTTTGGCCTACTTTCAATGGAACACGCACTATCTGTTTCTTTTTTTTCCAGGGGGTTGAAGCTGGGTAAGTTGCGTTGTGACCTCAGTGCCGTCTTGAGGATTGAAGAGCTCCTAGGCATACCGGTCTCTTGGGCACCTCGGGCCAGAAAAGATCACCACAGGATGGGAAAATATGGGAAAGATCTGCACGGCAACATCCCGACCCCTTTGTTCCCAATGGCCATTTCGTTTTTTTGAGGTTTTGCCTTCTCGGGTAGGGATGCGGCAATCATGTCAAAGGGTAGAGTTGGGTACAGAACATTAGAGAAGTCTATAGTGAAGCTGAGGACTTTAACCAAGAACAAATGGATATGTAAGCAAGCTATCGATACTCAATTGGTTTCACAGTGCAAAGGCAGGGCACCAGTAGACACAGTGAACCCAGCCTGCGGTCCCCCAAACTGCTGGCGAGACTGAAGGTCGGCGTGGGCCCTGATCGCAACAGCATGCTGAAGGTCCCAAAGCAGAGACACGAGCCCTTGGCCCAGCTGTGGCTGCAGGGTAACCCCTGAAGCTGAAGAATAAACACTCACCTGCCTCCAGATTTTTCTCTGAAACGGAGGCCCATTCTGTCCATTCAAGTCCACCATCTGATGCTGACCATGAGGGAACCAATTCTTAAACTTCTGAATCGCTCAGGCCAGTGAGCAGCATGCTACCTCAGCTGCCACCACGTTCCTCACGGTGAGGTGTAGCCAAAATGCGGGCTGGATGAGCAGTGAGAACATCTGTAAGACGATTAAAATAGGCAAAATCATACATACCCATATATTTGCCCACCTACCTTCCTAGCTTGGTACATAAATATGCATACTGTATATTTATTTATTTATTTATTCATTTATTAAATAAATACATAAATATATATAAGTAAGTTGATTTATTTATTTATTTATATATTATATATATATATATCTACATATAAATGCATACTGCTGTATGACCATAATGATATTGCTCCATTCCAATAGAGTGGTTGAACCATGTTTCACAGCTAATCAAAGCTGTGGTGCTTCACCCTATGATCATGAAATACTGTAAACATTCTCGATCTACCCTTCATGATAAGGGGGTCCAGTCTAAGGAGGGTTTATGTGAGAGGAGTTTGCTTTCCATCCCTATCTGGGTATCATCAACTGACCAACACAATAGGGGAAGCGGGTGGCTGAACTGAACCATGCAGTGGTCGTTCAGCCCCGTGGGGTCACCATTCTCAAAGCTGGTGAAGGGGATGGCGCGCTGAAAAAGGGCCGGATTTAGCAAGGCTTGGTGGAAAGCATCAAAATTTCCAGTGGATTTGAGACATTTCATCAAAAACACCCATGGATGGAGATGATTCCCTGAATGGATCTAAATGGACCAGGACCAAGTGTCAACTGGGTCTTGTTTCAGCTGACGTTTGCCGCAGCTATCTGTAGCAAGATAGAAGTCGGGGGCAGGGGGGCAAGCAGGCAGTTGCCGTTGCAGGCAGGACAGTGCCGTGGCAGGTTGCGCATCATGGCTGGCTTGGTCCACGAGATGCATTTCACACAGCGGGACTGTGGGATACCAACGTAGAATCTGCAACTTCAAGGGAAGAGTCTTCGAGAACTGGAGGATTTTTGCGTCTTTTGGGGCCTCGGCACCAGCGTTAAACCAGACTTATCACTTTTTCACTTCCAGCTTGAAACTTCAAACAGATCAGTTTGCGCAACTTCGTTGGATCATGTGATGTTCCCGTTTTCACATAGTGAGTTCCCCACGGGAGAGCCATCGCCGGTCAGGTCCTGCCGGTCCCCATGGATGTCGGATAAGGTGTTGGAAAGTCCGCCGGCGCAGGGGGTCCTCAGTCTGCGGAGGGCTTCCCTTGGTGTGGGCACTGATTGCGAGCTCTAGTTATGATATGAAATTGCAGGTGTCTAACATTCTAGTGATAGTGGTGGTGGTGGTGGTGATGATGATGATGATGATGATGATGATGATAATGATAATGATAATGATAATAATAATGATGGTGGTGATGGTGGTGGTGGTGATGCTGATGATGCTGGATGCATCCAGTCTTAGCAGTTCAACAGCTCTTTATGCTTACCAATTGACTATTACTATATACTGTATATACTATCATCACTGCTATGAACATTAAATATTATTTATACCATTTTTACTAGTTTCTTCTTCTTCTTGTTCTTCTCCTTCTTCTTAAATGTACTGTATATGTTTGAATTTATTGTTATATCATCACAATCCCATTCCTCCCACAACTTCCCCAAGGGGTCCCCAGGGACGATCTCCGGGAAAGGGCCCCTTCGCCATGGCCAGGTCTGGCAGTGCGCCAAATGAGAAAGGCCAAGAGGACGAGGATCGGCACCGAGAACTCATAGGGTACTTGGATGTACATCCCTTAGTAAGTGTTAGAATCCCTATATAACCCATATAATCCCATATATAAGTGGGGATATTCCATACAGTCTGCTGAAATTCCTCTGTTTTTAGGAGGTATCTTAGGTCTGTCCAAAGTTGGTGTTTTTTCTTTGAAACCCCCCCTGATTTCTGTGCCTCCTGTTGCTGGTGGAAAGAGCTAAGCTGACGTGGATATGGCCCCTCCCAAGAATGCAGACCACAAAGGTGTCTCCCCAGTGCCAGCGTTGACAATCTTCATGGTTTGATGTCAATTCAACCATGTCAACGTATTTCAACATATTTTCAAAGGCTCCATGGTTTCTGTTATAGAATGGGCTAGCGCCCTGGTGCCGCCGACCCCCTTTAAAGGGGGTGGGACAGGCAGTACCAGAGGGTAAATCACCATTACTTTTCCAGTTGCATTTATAGTATCTATCATGTATTATGGATATATATATATATATAGATATATGGATTTTTCTTTTGCCTTCTGTTTCACGAGATGTGGCAGGGTGTTGTAAGCAGAAACACCCCGGAATCACACAATGTCATGGCAGTCCCGGTCCCATGTTTTGGAACCAGGCTGCCTCAATTTCGGTGCTGGCACATAGAAGTCATAGAAGTGATGTCAATGAATGAAGTGATGTCAAGAAGACACCATGAAGTTGAAGCAGTTCAGGATTAGCTTGGAGAGCATGGTCAAATGCAGAAAAAGTCCTGTTTGCACTTGCACAGTGCCATCCCATAGTATTGACATGTTTTACCGATGGCAATGTATAAATCATGATCTGTATTTCTATCAACACCATTCATATCATTTGTATCAATGAGTTGCCGGCGTGCGTGTTGGTCCGGTTCCAAACGAAGACAACATGGCGCGTCGATGGGCTTAATGAGGACAACGTCTTTCCCGTGGCGCCACAGAAGAAACCGTGGTACTTGGACAAGGGGCGGCGGCGGCCAGTGCTGCGTGTCACGCGAAAGCAGTTTCCATTGGCTCCAAATTTTGCAACAACTGCCCACGCAGGGCAAGGGCAAACTCGTAAAGAAGGGGTTGTGATGGACATGCACATCGGCGAAGCAGGCGACCCATTGACAGCGTATATTGCGATCACGCGTGTCCAAGACAGGCATGGTTTGTTTGTGTACAGACCTTTCCCTGCAGCACCGTTTCAGAAAGGCGAAAAAGTAGGCCGTGCATTGCTGTTGCGGTTCTGGGCTGGTGAAGAAATGGACTGGAGCGCACTGCGAAAGAAATACCGAGACGAAAAGCAATGCAAGGAATGTAATGAATCGAAGCCGACGTCTGCGTTTACGGCCGGCCGCTGGAAACGCGAAGATGCAGCAAGGGTATGCAAAGAATGCATTCGTCGGCATGTAGAAGCGCAGCAGCCGTGGCAATGCATGGCGTGCACAGCGTGGAAACAAGAGGACGCATTCATGGCAAAACATGCAAAGCCACAAGCGACATTTCATCGGATTTGCACAACGTGCGAAGCAACACAAGTGTGCACCGTCTGCAAAGTGCGCAAGGACGAAAATAAATTTTCGACTGCGGCATGGAAACGAGCACGCCATGGCAGTAGAGTGTGTCTTGATTGTGGTGGTAAAGCTTGGGGGTGGTGGCGATGCAGCGTGTGCAAAGTAAAGGAAGCAGCCCCTGCGTTTGAATCATGGCTGGCGCAAAATGGTTCTTGCAATGGAGACCAAATCTGTAAGAATTGCTGGACATCCAGAATTCCCCGGAAAAGCATCAGCAGAGCACTAGAGCGAGTAGCTGCAACGCAGGCAAAAGTAGCGGCAACGGCCGTGGAAGAAAAAAAGGCGCGTGTCATAGCGGAAGTCCGGGCCGCTATTGCGGAGAAAAAACGGACGCGAGACGCGGATGGTTCCCAAACGCAAGGAGCAGAGCCGAAAGCGAAACAACGGAGAGAAGAGGGAAGGGAAGAAATGACCATTGCGAATGCCCAGGATCCCATCACAGAACAAAAACGGAGAAGAGAAGTGGACGAGGCCGAAGCACAAGAAGGAGAACCGAAAGAAAACCAACGCAAAGACAAAGCAGGGAAGGCCGAAGAAAAGCATAAAGCCTTGAAAGCAGGTAAAAGGCAGGAAGGCAACAAGGCCAGCAAGGAGAAGACCTTGCCGGCAAATACACGACACGCAACGCAGAGAGGAAAGAGTTTCCAATATGTCTGTCCTGCTTGCCATCAGTCAGTGATCAGCAGCATACGCACAGGGCAAGTAAATCATCGCCGGACATGCGGGCACCAATTCCAAGTGAAAGACGGTGTTGTGGCAGAGAAATCTATTGCTTACACATGTCCATTCTGCAAGGGGCTTGTTAACAGCAATGTGAAGACAGGGAAAATCAACCATCGGGGTGTCTGTGGGTACGAATTTACCGTACAGGACGGCGTTGTCGCAAAGAAAAGTTTGTTTACCAGTGCCCATTTCGCAATGGACTTGTGAACAGCAATGTGAAGACTGGGAACATCAACCATCGGGGTGTCTGTGGGTACAAATTTTCGGTGCGGGACGGCGTTGTCGCAAAGAAAAGTTTCGTTTACCAGTGCCCATTTTGCAACGGACTTGTGAACAGCAACGTGAAGACAGGGCAAATCAACCATCGATCTGTGTGCAACAATCAATTTTACGTCAAGGACGGTGAAGTCAGCAAGCAGACACGGCGTCATACGCACAGTTGCCCGGTCTGCTCCACTGTTGTTTGGTCATCGCTGTCATGTGGCCGCATTGCTGTCACGCATGACATGCCATCGGGAAAACCATGTCACAAGAAGCAGTGGCACGTTCCCGAGAAAAAGACAACGAAAACAAAAAAGAAATAAGAGCCATTAGGCTTTCTAGGAGCAACTGCATGTAGAAAGGCCACCCGCAGGGAAGCGTGGGCAAGTTTTGAAGGCTGGCAGAGGCAGCTTTGAACCCCTGTAAAAAGACAATGCCACGGCCTGAGCGGCTCGTCGAAGCTGAAGGAAGGGTATGCCGCGGCCTGGGTTATGCCAGGAGTTGGCAAATGGCAGCCTTGAACCCCACAAAAAGACATTGCCACGGCCTCAGGGACTTGTTGGAGCTGCAGGAAAGGTTCACCGCGGCCTGAGTGGCGCGTGGGAGCTGCAGGGAAGCGTTTGGGGAGTTTTGGCGAGTTTTGAAGGCTGGCAAACGGCAGCCTTGAACCTCCATAAAAGGACATTGCCACGGCTTCGAGACTTGTTGGAGCTGCAGGAAAGGTTCACCGCGGCCTGAGTGGCGCCTGGGAGCTGCAGGGAAGCGTTTGGAGAGTTTTGG